CAAGGTGGCCAAATAAAATAAAAAGAATAAACATGCATGTATTTTGATTGGTTTATGAGGGTGGCCAAATGAAAACAAAGGAAAAATATGTGCATGAAATGTGATTGGCCTTGCATCACATAGACAATATTTTTTAGCATCTCGTATTGCATTCAAAGTCACAGTAGGCTCATAACCAGCATGGCAAGAGGGGAGTGTGGGGAAACAACTATGTCCTTGAGAAACTATGAATACCCAGAGGAAATGGTGATGGTTATGTGCTTTTATTATCTGTTATTCCTTGTTTACTTAAAAAAAAAAGTGATTGGCCAATGGGTGGCTACATAAATGTTAAGTTTTAAGAGAGAAAGAGAAAGGTGAGGGGGACTTAGGAGAAGCTTGACGGCTGGTCATTTTGTGAAGAGAAGAGAGGAAAGGAAACTTGAAAGAATTCCACCTGAGAGGAAGGAAAAAGAAGAAAGAAAAGAGAGAAAAGAAGGAAAGGCTTGGTTTGCATTAGATCAAGGGAAATCGTGGGGTTTCCTCCTTCATTTTGTATCTTGGTGCTAGTCTAGCAACCAAGGAGTCCCCAACACTTAAGAGAGAAGAAGTGGAGTGTGGATGGAAGTGTAAAGCTCGGTTTTTCAATTTAAGCAACGAAAGGTAAGGATTTTGGTTTTAGTTTGATTAATCTTTGCAAATGGGTTGACGACTAAGAGAGATGTCTTATGGCAGCAAAGATTGACTTGATTGGAGAAAGTTTGGTGACATGCAAGCCATTCAAAATGGTGGTTGCATGGTGGATGCCAAGTGAAAGGAAAGTGGTAAGCTTAACATTTTGTTCTGAAGCATACGGTTAGTTGAATATTGTGAGGACATGATTGTGTAAAATGTTGGAAGATTGGTGGGTGGAACTTTGGAAGAACATTGAGGTTGCATGCAAGGTCTAATTAATCACAAAGGTAAGGCATGCAATGTGAAATGGTGGTAAGATGTTTTAAGTATGGTTAGGAAACAATTATGCTAGTTGATAGTTAAAAATGAAATGAATGAAAATGATGGATATGTGTTGTTGTGAAAGATTTAAATATGTTAAGAATATTGATATAAGATGAATGAAATTGGTGTCATGTCTAGTGATGGTATGTTAAAAGTGAATTTGGTTGTTGAAAGAATTTAACATCCATGAGCTATTTAGAAATATTGAGTTTGCT